CATATATACAGATAGACTAATACGCACATACACATACGCAAAAAAAAATTCACGCAAACATACATCTATACACGTACACATAATACAATAATCAAGCCACATAAGGTCGAAATTAGAAAAGAAAAGTGAAAGTGATGATTTCCCCGAGAAAACAACAACAAAAAGTGACAGACAAACATCAAACAGGAAGGAACATGGGCGCCTTACATAGAGAGGAGAAGAAGATAAGATTAGTAACTGAGAAAAGATCAAAGGAGCCGGTAAGATAACATTCTATTTCATTTTTTCCTTTAAATGTGTTGTTCTCTTTCCCTTCGGTTTCTCATTTTTAAAAATTTTACTTTCTCTTTTCTATCTCTTTCTCATCCATTTTTTTTTTCTCTTGCTACTTTTTTCTCTCTTCTGCTCTGAATGTTGTTCATCTTTTAAAGACAGCTGCTTTTAGATATTCTGTCATTATTTAAGTTCTTCCTATTCAACTATTCGCATTGCTGCCCTTATTGGCAACAATGTAAAAGCTGCATGTAAATAAGTTTTTTTTTTTTTTTTTCTTTTTTTTTTGCTTTTTTATCGTTTTTTTTATACCTGCGCGCCACGGATCACCACGATATTGGAAGCTACTGATTCGTCCCATCCTTGAGCATTTATATATACACAAATAATATTGCTAGGAAATCTGCACCCCTCAATATTGACTCCGTTAATTGGGGTACATATTGTAACGACGGAAATTGCGGGGTAAATTATCATGGAATGTGGGCCACATGCAGGGAAATACGTGACCTAAGCCTGTAATTTATGTAGTTCGCCCCTCGCCCTAGAAGACAAAGGTTCTGAAAATGGCGGGCTGGGGCATCGGATCGTTCATATGGAGGGGGTACACATTAGCCTGTGAGGCCACGAAGCGTACTACAATATTAAAGATAATCTCCTGCCTCGACTCATGAGTATAAGGTAGCTTGGGAAAAGCCTCATGGTTACCTCACCTCTCCTGCAATAAGCCTTACAGCGGCTGGGAACACCACTTAACAACCTATAGGGACGGTCATCGTGACGTCACCAGAGCTGTCACGTGATCAGTCGGAGGCAGTGGTGGGCAAAAACAACAAAATCCCACGAACTTCGTTATTAAGTATTGGTCTGTCGCGAACATCGTCCCTTTTTCTCGATTTATATAAGATTCGCATCCTTTTTCACCCTTTTATAAGAAACTTCGACATGGTAAACAATTGCATTATTATTGGATGTGCAAATGGACAGCAAAAAGGTTCAACTTTGAGTTTTAATTGTTTTCCGAAAGACCCCGAGAGAAGGAGGCTTTGGCTATCAGTCGCAAGAACTTTGATCCTGCACCTGGGAGTGATGTAAGAGTTTGTGCTCATGGCACGTACGATAGCTTTTCTATAAAGATATTCTAAAATTTAAACGGTTGTTATATCGTCATAACTCTTTCTTGGGGATGTATTTCCCCGTGGTTAAGCATAGGCCTAGGCAGTGGTAGATGTTGTGGGTGACTGGTTACTATTGAGTATCTTCTTTCACTTTAAGTGTCAGTTAATTTGATTTTAAAACTTTCCCTGAACAAAGGTCGTAGGGCATTAAATGGGAACAAAAGATTAGTAAATTTAATGACTGCTACACTGCCCTCTCAACAACTTCAAGAAATTTGCTTAAATCTTTTCAAGGTATCATGATGAGTATTGCGTGGGAATGTAAATTTAACATTTTAGAATAGTCTGGCTATAACGTCCAAAAAATACTAATAAAACCCCTGTTTTGAGCAACTTTTTGAAAAACCGGGCCTAAAAAGCAAAGAAAGAATTTCACAAGTTCTGGAGAATTTAACCCTACGACTACGAACCAGTCTTATTATAATCAGTATTGAGTACTTACTTGTACCCTTCCAGAGATTTGTAGGCCTTTAATTCTTTTTATGTGTAAACACCAGGTGTTTGTATAATGGTCGGTCAACCAAACAATTAGTATGGCCCAGCAAATACAGATAGCTGTATTCTGATTTTTTCTTATGTTGAATGCCAGATTCCATTATCCTGTTATGTTTTAAAACTTAAGAAATATACTTGAAAGCTTCGAGTGATTTGCAGGCTTTCAACTGTTGTGTGTAACTACCCGGCGTGTGTATGACAGCCAAAACTAACATCGGGCCGACCATTGGGGCTTTCAGGCCAGCCATCAGAGAGAGAGAAAGGATCTGGTAAGCTTTCTGTACCTTTAGAATACTGAAGTTCTTCACCATGACGTTTTTTAGCAACTAAATCTAGAGATTTGTAGTAGGTTGACATCGTTCTCACAGCTGATTCAGCAGCATTGTTGATCTTTTGCCCACCAGTGTTGTGCGCGTGCGCGAAAAAGCGTTTTTGTTTTTGTTTTGATGATTGTCCCTATATCGAGGTCTTCTTGAGAATCCTGTGTCACATATCTGCGCCCAGGAAAGGATACTCTTACCCTTACTGCTCTGTCCACTCAATAGATGGCACTGCACAATGTGCGTGGATCTGTGCCATCTAGTGATGGAGATTGACATTCTCTGTAAGATTTCCTGCTTCTTTCCATTCCTGTTACGAACGCCACCTTATGCTTCTAGTAGACGCTGGGAATGTGGTGTCAATGGTCCTTTGATCTGTGCAGACCGTTGTTTTGCAATATATGTATTAGAATTGTGTCTAGGTGTTCTATTCGAAGCAAGGAGTACTGTCCCCGGTATTATAGCCTTTGGTACGCCTCGTGATATCACAGGTTAGTGCAAGGTCGAAAGAATACGAGGTTATTCAACCCTTTTCGACCTCGTATCGCGCAGGTGATGACGTCACGTGCATTGGGGTCGGTGAATACAGACGTAAAATAATATTTAACTGCTTTTTACTAGCTTTTCGCCTTTCGTTTAAAGGAAAGCTCGGGGGATACGGGAAGTTTTATTTTTGTATTTGAATATCCTTTTCTCAGCGTGGATGAAGGTTTTATTTTATCTTATTTAGTTTTTTTTACCCATAAGTGCGATGTATTTCCTTATTACCTCTGATAATTTGGGTATACCTTATTTGTTTTACTTGCCTATTCTCATTTTTAATCGTAGCGTTAACTAAATTCCAACGTAACCATAGTAATGAAAAAGGAAGTACAAATATGAATCCCTATCTAAATGGGTTTTGTGAGTAAAAAAAAAAACTTATATAATATATATATATATATATATATATATATATATATATTTATTTTTTTTTATTTTATTTTTTTTTTTTTATTTTTTTTTTTGAGAAGGGGAGAATTACAAGCCACGCCCTGTTCCTGTCTCTTTTTTCAAAATATTGTGACAATTCCCCCCCCTCAGTTCCTTCCTCCCCCTCCCTCTTCCCCACGTGACTACCCCCTCTTCCTCCCCCTTTTTAATGTCTATTTTCTTAGGAATTCTAATTATAACTTCTTAATTCGTTCCACCACGATCACCCAAAATACCATACACCCTAAAACCTCTCTCCTTCCTCCCATGTGACTACCTCCCCTTCCCCCTCCTTTTAATTACTCCTTTTCACTCATTCCGCCCTCCCTCCTTCCCTCCCTCCCTTCCTCCTCCTCCCTTTCTCCCTCTTCTCTACCTACCTATCTCCTACCTCCCTCTTCCTTCCTCCCTACCTACTCCTCACTCTTCCTTTCCTCCTCCTTCTCTTCCCCTTCCCTTCCTCCCTCCCCCACTCTTCCTTCCTTCCCTTCCTCCCTCCCCCATCCTTCCGTCCCTCCTTCTTCCTTCCTCCCTCCCTCCCTCATCTCCCTCACTCTTCTTCCTCATTCCCTCCCTCACTCACTCTTCCTTCCTTCCCTCCCCCCTCTTCCTCCTTCCCTCCACTCCCTAGTTCCCTCCCTCCTCTTCCCACCTACCATACACACCCTAAAACCGGCACGCACGGTTCACGCTCACCCTAATCCACCCGAGAAACAAAGTTCATCGCAAGTACCTCTCGACACATGATAATCAACAGGATTATCTCCTTCACACAAGCTAAATTTAGCAACAAAAAGAAAGAAAAAAAGAATAAATAGAATAAAAAAAAGCGACAGAAGACAAGGCGCCGGAACTTCTATCGAGTTTCTATTTATAGCAACGTTTCGAGGGGAATATGGCGTGTCATGGGGGGGGGGGGAGGGGGAGGTGGCCTTCCGCTGCACTTCTGTTCATTGTTTTTTTTCCGGTTTGAAGAGGGTGGCGTGTGATGAAGAGTCAGATAGATAGGGAGGGAAAGAGGGAGATAAGATATATAGGGAGAGAGGGGATAGGTAGAGAGGGCGATAGAAAGGTAGGGATATAGAGTGATAGGGAGAGAAAGAGGAGATAGGAGAGAGATGATAGATAGGGAGGAAAGAGGGAGATAAGATATATAGGGGAGAGAGGGATAGGAGGGAGGGAGAGAGTGAAAGATAGGGAGAGAAAGAGAGATATATAGGGAGAGTGATAGATAGGGAGGGAGAGAAAGAAGGGATAAGATATAGGGAGAGAGGGGATAGGTAGGAAGAGTGATAGGGAGAGAAAGGGAGATAGAATATAGGAGAGAGGGGATATAGGAAGGAGAGAAGAAAGAGGGAGATAGTAAATAGAAGGGAGAGAAAGAGGAGAAGATATATATAAGAGAGGAGAGAAAGAGAGATATATATAGGGAGGAGAGAGGGTAAGAGAGAGGGAGAGGGAGAGAAGATAGGATTAGGGAGATATAGATACAGGTAGGGAGAGAAGGGGCGATAGGGAGAGGAGACAGGGAGGAGAGATAGGAGGGGGAAGGATAGATAGGGAGGGAGAGGGGCGAATAGGGAGAGGAGAGAAGGGCGATAGATAGGGAGGAGAGAAGGGGCGATAGATAGGGAGGGAGAGAAAGGGCGACTGATAGGGAGGGAGAGTGGGCTGCAACCGTGACCTGACTAGGTCAAATGTCACATAAATACCCAATGTCTAGCCTGTATTCTTATCGTTCCTTCCCCATTGCTTCCCAAAGATGGCCTCGAAGTGCTACCCGTCCCACTCTGCCTCCGGTTTCGCCGCTGCTGCTCCCGAAGGCGCTGACGACCTTGCGAGTCCTTCCAGCGCTCCTCCTGCCCCGCCTGGTGATGCCGCCAACTACGACTCGAGTGACGATAGCGACTGCGTCTATCTCCCGAAAGGAAGGGACTACATCTTGGGCAGAGAGGACGCCAGCGACGAGGAAACCGAGCTGGACGCCCTTGAGCCATCTGCGTTCGAGTGGCGGGCAGAGGAGAATGTCCCCAGGCGGTTCGAATTCTCGGCCCACCCTGGGGTCAACGCCGCTCACCTGCACCGAAAGTCCACGCCCTTCCAGATCTATTCTCACTTCGTCACACCCGAACTCATGGACCACTTCGTCCGGGAGACTAACCGGTACGTATCCTTCCTCTTCTCGTTCGCAGGAGTGTTGTCTGTGTGCGTGGTATTGCGTAGTGCACATCTCGCAATAAAAGCGTATTTTAGAGTTTGTTTTTCTTTTCATTAGATACTACCACCAACGGCCACCTTCGTCCGCCTCGAGGAACTGGCGCGACACGTCTCGGGAGGAGCTGTACGCCTACTTCGGACTCCGGCTCGTGATGGTCTTGAATAAGTCGGTCTCCGTGGAGAGCTACTTTCAGGATCCCTTGTGCCGAATGCCTGTTTTTGAAGCCACAATGCCGCTGGAGCGCTTCCTTCTCCTGACGCAGAATCTCCACGCGGTGGACAACAGCGAGACGCACTCTGCCCAAGATCGCCTGTGGAAGCTGCGTCCGGTGGTCGACGTGCTCAGTCGGCAGTTCTTGTCGGTGTACACGCCTCCCCAGAGACTGACTGTCGACGAGTGTCTGTGGAGGTTCCGGCGCGACGGCGAGGTGTTCGGGGTGAAGGCGTACAGACTGTGCGTGCGCGACGGCGAAGCTCCGGGGTACACCAGTGCCTTCGGGATTTACGCAAGCGAGGAGGAGAGCGACGTCCCTGCGCCTGGGAGAGTTGTTGTCGACCTGATGGCCGCCGCCGGCTTCTTCGGGAAGGGCTACGAGCTTTTTACGGACAAGTGGTATACTTCGCCGGCCCTCTTCCGCCTTCTGCAGGATCGGCAGACCAACGCCGT